GCAATCAGGTTGAGGCTGTCAAGGACCGACTGGTCCACAGTAATGGGATTGATCTCTCTCATGAGCTCAATCAAATTGATATTTTCTCACAAAAGAAAGAAAACCAGATCTTGACTGGCGAACGTATGAGTAAAAGTTGCTTGGTAGGATAGAGTCTTAGAGCCTTACTCAAGCTGGCAGAATGCCCAGTAGGGAACCGTATGCTGTTGAGATTTTCTGACCAAGAGCAGAATGCTGCTGGTTGAATTAACTGTTGCTTGCTAAGGAATGTCTGTTGTCGTTCGAACTGGCTGTTTGCTGATTAAATACAGATTGAGTAGTGACTGAACCACAGTTGAATGCTGTTCTGAACACCGTTCAAAATACTGTTTTGAATATTGCCCCGAGTACCGTTTTGAGTACTGTTCTGAGTACTGTCTTGAGTACTGAATATTCACTGAATGTCGTCTGATACACTGGATATAGTTTGATCCACTGGATCGTGAATTCTCGTATCTTCGTACCGCAAAAGAAACTGCAAATTATTGTTGTTTAGATGTTGGTAGAGTTATGGAAATGGTAATTTGGACACTACTGGGTTCATGCGAGCTTTGCCCTGGCCTGTTCCACGCTTTCTAGCGAGGAACTGGCACTATGCAATTTGCCATCAGGTCCGTGGAAGTAGATTACGTATTCGATGTACTTTCTCTCTCCTGCTATTCCAACCGCAAACTCCCTCCGAATTAATCTGTGTTTTTTTATATCCTTGCACGCCTCTTCCTCCCAGCCTTCTCTCTTATCCCTGTTCGATCTACCTTTCACCACCAAAATTTTGTTTTCCCCCATGCTTCTCTTTTATATTTTCGAATCAAGCTGTAGATGGGATGGATTATGGGCGACCTTGACAAATTTCGACTCTTTGTAGATGGGCAGACTTTGGGCAATTTGCAATCGTTTTACCTCTCACGACCAAATTTTTATTACTTGGCACGGTATGCAGGGTGTTGCCATAAGATCACTGCGCACAACCATCACCCTCTTTACCCCTTTTGACAAAATTATCTCTAATCAAAGGTCAGGGCTATTACCCGGGCCTCAATTTTCTGGCACATCACACATAGCAGCAACGACTGTCGATCTAAATATTCCGCATCCTAAACGCAACAGACCTGACATGGAAGAGATATTGCGACTGTCAAAGGAACTGCGGCAAAAACAACGTCCGAGAACACATATTATTCACAACAAAATGTCTGAGCTCCAAGCATTTATCGAAAAACCAAGACCTGCAGGATCGTTGCTAGTAACAGAAAGAGAATTTCTTGTTCAATTCAAATGGCGTTGGGCAAGAGATGTACATGTAATCGACATGATTCTTGCTGATACAGACCAAGAAGCACAAGTTAACGACATACATTGGACACTTACAAATGTACACGGAACTACATACAACGATATCCTATCACTACTACGGAAGGGGACTGTATACGATTACGACGAAGACTTTGTTATGCCAGGCATCGGAACTCTGTTGGCATTCAACCAAACAACAGGTCACAGAATTAATGAATGAAATGATATCTGATATCCATGTTTCAATGCCAATACAAGATCAATGGAACCTGCTCCATCGAACAGAATTGCACAACATAATGTGCAATCGACATCAAACGATCATATCTCTTCTGCAAACAATTCGACTGCGACTACATCAAATGCTCAACAAGATCGCGATGAACCATCATAAACTGCAAGGTAAGAAACACAAAAATCAAATAAAACCTAGTATTTTTTTTTGTTGCTCATTTTATATCATCGTCATTTTCTATAATAATATTTCTAATTGAAAAAAGTTCACCTAACATATCTAATACACATATATATTTGTTTCTTGTTTTTTCATGTGGTTTATTTTCTTTGCAGGTGCTTATTCTTATTCATCACTCACACATTATGTCAATCCTTCACCGATTTTTCAACACTCTTCTCATATACTTGCAACATCCCAATCTTCATCCTACAACACAAATCAATCAAGAAGACATTGTTTTCTCTTACTTTGCATATCACTCCACAACTTCTATTTCTTTATATATTTTCTTAGCAGACGTCATACCATTACCAACAAACTTTCAAAATCTTCGTATTGCAGCAATCGATGACATTGTTTGTCTTCTTGATGTTCCTCATCCTGGAACAAGAATTCTACTAACTAATACTACTCATCATAGATTCATTTCTACACCGCTTATAATTTCCAATGCATCTTTCACTTTCATATATATATTAAATTAAACTAAAACAATACAATAGATATCTTATAACATACAAAATATTATACTTTCATCTTCATACTATATAACTATATAAAACATTACATTCCTATCTCCATATTATAACTATAAAATAACTCATTTGTTTCTTTGTCATATTTTATTGCAGATAAAAAATAATGTCGGACACATCGTCAAGACCAAGCGACCACCTGGAATACACAATGCGACATGAACGATACATACATCACACGAAAACTATCGACCCCAAACGATATCTTCGTTTCCTTCCTATGTATCAACCGACGTCGATCGCAGAAACAAGACTTCTGGTATATCATCAAAGGTGGCGACGAGGACAACAAAACATGGTTACAATATATTTGGCAGATACAGATCAACCAGAAATTGTCAACGACATCCATGCAGCGCTCAGTACAAAATACATGGACACATACAAAAATTTGGTTCCATTCGTACGAAGAGCTGTAGTCTACGACTACAACGATGACTATGACATTCCAATCATAGGAACAACTATCAGATTCGATCACACTTCTAATCATCATGAGTCACTAGAACCTCGAGGACTAACATTCGATGCTGATTTTCAACATATGACACCACAACCCCTTCACATCTATACATTGTCACTTCGACCAAACACACCATCCAATTCTGATAATAAAGTTCAATAAAATTTAAATTCCTTCGCACTAACATAAACTTGTATATGACAAGAATCGAAATTGCTTACCATATTGTTATAGACTTTTATAGTTCACTAGTTAATAAGTATACTGATTCTGGCTCCTTAATGACAATCAACTTAGATAAAGACAAAAAAAAAGAGTTGTATATGTTCTATGACTATTAAGGGATCTATGAATGCAATCCTCTACCACACACATCACATAGTAATTTGTAGAATTTGACATTAATCCCGAATAACTAGGAAATTGTAGTCTCTTCTCCTCTTTTTTCAAACTAAATAATACTTTGTTTAATAAATTAATAATAATATAGAAATTGTCATTAATATCAAATGACTAGAAGATTACAATCTGTTTTCTTCTTTCTTCAGACCAAAGAGTACCTTGTTTGATCAACACAAGAATTTGGGATTAATATTCCAACTGCGTTTACATCCCAACATATCAGTTGTTCTTTTCTCTTTTTATTTTTTCCTTCTTCTTTTTCTTGCATTTTGTTGAGCAATAATCTAAAGCGAGACAGTTAGCTGCTTCGCATGGAATCCGTCCTGCCTGGCCGGCAAAGCGCTACAAAGACATGACAACAAGAAACAAAAAAAAAAAACAATCTGTTTTATGTTCCTCATGTTTTTAACTTCCTGGCCAGATACATTCCTCAAAACACTGGTGAAGTAAGGGTCTTCCCGACATAGGTATATGCTACAGCTCTCTTTACTTTTTCTTTACTTGATCATATTTTCTACTTTTTTTTCTTCTCTATTTGTGTAGCGGACCCACCAGGTGTGGTGCTCCGCTAGTGGTAGAGATGAAGATGGAGGAAGAAGGGGGGGAGCGAGATGACACAACGCAGCTCCCCACGCAAGACTCCAACGCACGTACTCCAAAATGTGCAAGTGAAGAATGAGGTCGAAAACAGACCAAGGCTAGGGTATACCCCAGCGGACTGACGAGACTGGACTGGACTGGCTAGTACCAGCAGAGATACCGGCCTGGAATGGACTGCCCCAAATAAAACACAGGCCTGTGAGAACAGGCCAAGGGGCTGGTCTCATAGGCCCACCGGAGGTCCGCTACACGATCCTCGGCATGCGGAGTCCATGCGATGCAACCTAGGATATAAAATGTCACAAAACAACAATGTCATAGCTAACAGCCTAAGTAAAAGCAAAAAACAACTAACTAGCATACATGTCATAGGAAAGGAAAAACAACTAACTAGCATACATGTCCTAGGAAAGCAGAAAGTAATGACAACTTGATCCTAGAATGTTGGAGGCAGTAGCCTCAGTCTGGGAACAACCGACTAGTGTATAAGTCCTAAGAACAGCAAAAGCAGAACAACTAAATCCTAGATATGTCAGAGACAGTAGCCTCAGTCTGAGAGCACAAAGCAACAACAAATCAATCATATGTCACATGAGAAGTGTGCCGCAAACCAAAGGGTGGGATGATCTCTGAGGGTGGCGAATGCAGCCTAGGGGTCGAAAACTCCTAAGGGCATCCACACATAGATAACAGGGAGACACATGCCATCAGGCTCAATGAGGGTAGGGAACTGGGAGCGAACAAAACCAATGACCCTAACAGATAGACCATCAGGGCGGGTAATGCTCGACTAAGGGGTGACC